CCTCATCAGACATGACTGGTGGTCAGCATGGGTCCCTTGTGCGCGATTAGCGGACGGTGTGTGGAGCGAGGGAGGCCTGTCACAGCAGACGTGCAGGGACAGTGAAGCCCTGTGACACCAGCCGTCCAAGGGCGCAAGCTGCGCCCAGTCTTCCTGCTGCTGCCCAGGGGGTTTGTCTTCCTTCCACATCTCCCAGCTCCACTCTGTCCTGCTTTCTTCCTCCTCTTTTGCTATTGCTTTTTCTATGCAAAAAATGTGAGTATTGCTTCATCTGCGTGTTAGGCTCTCAGTTTACAAAGACATTTTTGTTCCTTTCCCCCAGCAGCCGGTGAGGAGCCAGTCATTTCACAACCGGGACACGAGGGCCTTGTGCGATACCCAGGCCCAGTGCAGACCCGCCAGGGGGGCTCGATCCTCGGCCCCTTGCTTTTGAATGCCCATTGGTCTGTGAAGTGAGCACTGTAAGGGAAAGGCAGGCTTTAAACTCTAAAGCACAGCATAAACACAGCAGCAAACATCTCTGCCCCTGGAGCCCCTGCCCATGTGCGGTGGAGACAGTGGAGGAGACACGCTGAGTCCTGCAAGGAAGTGGGCAGATCTGGGGACAGTCAGATTCAGAGGCCGGAGTTTGTATTCAGGGCTCAGTCCTGCTCAGCAGTCCAGTTTTCACTCCAAACACTCAGAAGCATCTTTAGATTTTTCTCTTCTGAAAGCGAGGAGAGGGTTAAAATGAAATGTGATCCTTCTTCGTCTGCAGCTAGCAGGATATGGACCCTTTCCTTTTCTTCTTACATGTTTTTTTTAAAGTGCTTTATTAATCACAGATGTCTCAAATTTACAGTCTGGGACTAGAAGACGATTTCTCTTCTCCCAGCAGTTTTAGGGGAGTGTGTGTGTGTGTGTGTGTGTGTGTGTGGTGTGTGTGTGTGTGTGTGTGTGTTCACGTGGCGGAATTCTTTCCCGTGTGGGGCTGAGGGTCAGGACTCAGCTTTGCCCTCCTTTCTTTAGCTTTTTCATTATTTTAAGAAGAAATCTCGCATGGACTTTGCGTGAACTCCAACTTCAGCCAAGAAGCCGTCTCCTTGGGGTTGTTTTCCCCTCGAAATAAGGCAAAATCTACTTTAATTGATTTTTCTCTCCCAGGGCTTCAGGCAGCTCACAAGTGACTTTCTCGTACACACTTGAGCATTTTTTAAAATGACTTTGATGTTCTGATCTATCTCTTTATGCTGATGTTTCCTTTGTCCCCTTAATAAGGGACAAGTTATTTTTTTTTAATTACAAACAGAATAAAGTAGTTCAGTAGGTTGTTTCATTCATCCTTCACCTAAAAATGATTCTGAGAATGTCTGAGCATGCTAGGCTCAGCAATTGAGCATCAACGCATGAACCAGGAGGTCACGGTTCGATTCCTGGTCAGGGTACATACCTGGGTTGCAGGCTCGATTCCCAACAGGGGACGTGCAGGAGACAGCCGATCTATGATTCTCTCTCATCATTGATGTTTCTCTCTCTTCCTCTCTCTGAAATCAATGAAAACATAATTTTAAAAAATAAATAAAAATGGACAAAAATTTCCTTCTTGGTTTATCTTTGCTGCTAGCATTTTTCTAAGTCATAAATATTCCAGCAGAGTGAAGTAATGTCATGCAAGTGATTTGGTGCAGAGCTGTTCAGGAAGCCCTGCTGTTCCCTGCAGAACATCGGTCTGCAGCACTCCGAGCGTGGCCTGGCGCTCTGCCCCCTCCTGGTCCAGGACGGTCCATCCAGGCCACGGCCGTGTTTAGTGCTCGACCTGCCAGATGAGGGGGGATCTCCTTTGAACCTGCTTTCCAAAGTGCAGAGGACCAAATCCTATGCGGCTGAGCCCACAGAGAGAAGCTAGGACACAACATCTCTAATTTCTTTTTCTTTTGAACCCATTTGTACAACTACCAGCTCCTTTCCCACGTAAGGCTAGAACGCCCTGAGCATCATCCACCTAAAGGCAGTCCTGCTCAGCAATCCAGTGTTCACTGTAAACAGGAAGAGGCATCTTTAGACTTTCCCGTTCTGAAAGCAAGGAGAGGGTTAAAATGAAATGTGATCCTTCTTTGTCTGCAGCTGGCAGGATATGGACCCTTTTCCTTTCCTTCTTATGTGGGTCCCCAAACTGTTAGTTATGGACCGCAGGTCCTGCTCTCCTACGGATGCCCGCCGTGTCCCTACCTTCAGGCTCAGGCCCTGCCCTCGCTGCTCACCCCGGCCAAGAGCTCTCTCACTTTTCTGTAACCCTGCGAGTTTGGGTGGACAAGGAGACTGAGGATTCCTGGTAGGCATCCTCTTTTCACTTAGGATTCATGTTGTCTGCTACATTGCTCCCATGCCAATGCCCCCAATCCTCATTTTTAGGCACAGAAATACATGTGCAGTCATTTGTTCACGTAGGTGGTGTTCCCCATTACTTCTGATGTCTGAGTATCTGCTTATGAGTGTAAAGATCTGGAGTGTATATGGGCCTCGGTCCTCTGCCTGCCTCCTGGTTCATAAAAGACACGGCAGCTCTCCATCAGTGACACCTCGCCCCATCCCGGCCTGTCCAGGGTGTCGCCCCCACCTCCACCGGTGCACCACCTTCATAGGTATTTGTCTTGGGCAGTTATTCAACGGAGGGCATATACATTGAAGAAATGACTGTTCTTACTGGTACATATGGATTGTGAGTCAGCTTGGCCGATTTCTTTAGGCTGGAGATTTCTGATGTTTCCATTCGGCACTTAATAAGCACCTACTATGTGCAAGGCCCTAGGAGTACAACAAGTCACAAGACAGATGAGCCCTTGCCCTCATGGAGAGCACTTAATAAGCACCTACTGTGTGCAAGGCCCTAGGAGTACAAGTCACAAGACAGATGAGCCCTTGCCCTCATGGAGCTTACATTCTCTAGTACATGGGTGTTAGGCCCGACTCCTTCAAAGGCTGGCTTCGGTGCTGCCTCCTCCATGGAGCCCTCCAGGATCACTCCACCTGGTTCCATTTCTTCTCAACCTCTAACAGGCTGAGACCCACTTATAGCATGTGTCCATTCTTGCCTGTACAAAGGCTGTGTGACTCCAGGAAACACTGTGGTCAGCCCATGGGCGGAGGAAGTGGGTATCATTCATCTCCATCAGGTGGCAAGTACAGGGCCTGACTGTGAGTCAGCACATTAAATGACTGAAATATGTCACCATGTCTTTCTAATAGTTAGTACTTGGTTGAATAAATTATCACCTGGCATGTGGATTATCCAAACCCTCCTCTTCCTGGTCCCTCCTGTTCTCACTGAGGGTTCCTGAGGCACAGCTCCTTCCTGTGACCTTTATGAGACCCGGAGAAAGCCCCTCGGCAGTCTCGCTTCCTGAATGTCAGCTTAATGGTGTCATTCCCCCCTGCCTCCTCCAGATGGCACCTGCGGAAAATAAAACTGATGTGGAAGTGTTTCAGTCACTCATTTAAAAATAAATAAAATAAAAAACATGTATGGTTGTATGTGTTCCTACACACACATATACCAGACATATGGAGGGGGAAAGGGGATTACTCTTGAGCAGAATGCTACCTTGATTAGTTCTGAACCAAAGTCGGCCTCTGAGAAGATCTAGATTTTTAAGAATGAGAGACCCTCCTTGAAATGCCTCATCTGTTTATGGACGATTGCACCCTCTGCCATGCGCGGCTTGGGCCAGGGGAGGAGTGGGACAGCCATTAGTCAGGACCCCGCTGTCTCGTCCAGGCGTCTGGAGCTTGAGTGGCAGCGGCTGTGGCCTCTCACTAATCACAGGATTGGGAGGAAGTGACTCTCTACCTTTTTAAGTGTCTCACATAATGGCCTGCAGGCCACAGAGGTAAATACAGCAGAGGCAGGTGTCTGTCTGGAACAATCTCTCCAATGGCTTAGTTTCATTTATTGTTGAGACTTCAAACGATTTCAGAAAATGCGCATAGTGAATGCTCTTCTTCCTCCTGCCATCCCCTGTGGCAGAGCCTGGGTTCGAGGACTCAGGAGAGGGCCAGCGTCCACGGTCACTGGTTTTCCGTTTGTACGGGAACGCCTCACACATAACCCAGGGTCTGTTGAGTGTCAGCCGTTACCTATGTTTTTTTATATCTCCTTTGTTCTCCTGAAAAACCATCCACTCGGAGCTGACTACATTTAATGTTTGAGATCCGAGGAGAAGGTTCATTTGGACATAGTTTCTGTAAGTGTTTTGGTTATTTGAGGAAGAACTCCTCCTCCTCACATATTTCTTTAAAAAATGTGTTGTTTAGTTAATTGTTGCTGGTATTGACTCCACTGTGGGAGGCAACTTGGCTGAGGCTGAGAGCAAAGAAGCACACGCCTGTGTAGTTTCAAAGTCTGGCTGTGAGCAAGGGGGCACGGTGGACCGCCCAGCACTCCCGCCAGCCTGGCCACGGCCACTGTGCACCGACACTGCACGTTCCAGAGCTGCTGTTTGTCACAGAGTCCGCCCGGTCCAATGTACACGCACACGCACTCACACACACGCACACGCATGCACACATGTTTCTTTTCTGAGCTGTACTTTTCTTCACTGGGAGTGAGTCAGACTAATACACTTATCCAACAGGATTAGTTTTTAATTTCCTGTCAATTCTTCTTTAAACCATTCTTTCTTGGGTTTTGTTTATCAAGAAAATGGGTGAAAATAACTTAAACATCCCATCCTACAGTGTCCGTGACCTTCTAAGTGACAATGGCATTTTAAAACTGTGACGGTGACTTGGGATTTTTTGGAGGGGGCAGTACATCCTGAGAAAAATCGTCTCTAGTGTAATTCAAGTGTGTGAAACATTTGAAAAGCGTGTGTGGGGGATGGGCCTTCTCTGTGGCGTTTCTACCCGTCGGGTGAGGCACGCACTGGGCGGTGCTGGGGCTCCTTGGTAAATGGCCCGACTTGGACACTGGGAGGACTGGGGCCACACGGTCACGCGTTGTTGTCTCTCTCTGGTCCCTGCAGACTCGCTGTCCGTCTCCAGTAACGATGCCAGCCCGCCTGCCTCCGTGGCCTCCCTTCAACCCCACATGATGGGGGCCCAGAGCTCCCCAGGCCCCAAGCGCCCAGGCAACACGCTGCGCAAGTGGCTGACGAGCCCGGTGCGGCGGCTGAGCAGCGGCAAGGCCGACGGGCACGTGAAGAAGCTGGCGCACAAGCACAAGAAGAGCAGGGAGGTCCGCAAGAGCACCGACGCCGGCTCGCAGAAGGACTCGGACGACAGCGCGGCCACCCCGCAGGACGAGACCGTGGAAGAGGTCAGTGCCGCTCAGCCCGAGCCGGGCACCCCAGAGCCCTCCAGCACGTTCTCTCCGGGTTGTAGGCATGGTTGCTGGTCTGACTGTTCTCACTCTGTTCTGTGCTCTATGGTGCCTAGGAGTGTGGGGGGCCCACTGAACCCCTGGGAGCGGACTGCTAGACTTAGTGGGGACAGGCCTGGGAGGAGCTGCTCCAGGTTAGCAGGGTCAGGACCTGCATGCGGCTTCTGCAGCCAATCAGAGGCCTGGGAGCTTCCCTTCCCCCCCCCCCCCCCCCCCCCCCCCCCCGTTGGGCTGGGAGCACTGGTGGTGTCCGTGAGGGGCCTGCAGAGGCTTTAACTAGACCCACCCAGATCCCTCATAGGCTTGGAAAGAAAAGGGCAGAGGGAGAGAAAGGACAAGCTCTGTGTCGTTTAATTTATTTGAGGATGCGGGTGTCCTGCTGCCCCCAGCCCCACTGCACGCTTTGCCGTGGGCTGTGCTGGAGTGTGTGGTTCATTGCATTCGCATCTTTCTTCTAAATCTGTATCCTCTTAGTAGAAATAAACTGAAATTTTTTTCCAAAAGTAAGAATAGAGGGATATTAATGGGATAACTCCGATTCTTAAAATGCACCTTGGATTGCATTTTTCTTTACACCGTTATTATGCCCATGGATTTTATTCTAGCAAGGTGCCAAAAGGGAAGCGAACGTGGGCCAGAGGACCTGGAGCACCATCAGGGTTAGGGCTCAAACTTCCGAACGTGATTGTTTTTTTCCTCTCGAAGTTGAGATATATTCAGAGCCTAACAGATACCACTGGCAGTTCCTTGTAAACACACACTCAATGGCCCTTCTCTCGTCCAAGTTGGCAAGCAGGGCGGTTGGGTTGCAGGAAGGAATGAGAAGTTACCATCAGGTTTGGGAAGGTTGTTCCTCCGTCTGCCATCTGAGCTTCTGTCCAGCATGTAGTTTTCCAGTTAACCCCTTAGGGCTCGTTTCTGTGAACTGACGTTGACAGTGGGGACCCACAGTGTAATGAGCGAGTGTTGGTTCCATTTCAGAGAGGCCGGAACGAGGGCCTGAGCAGCGGCACGCTCTCCAAGTCCTCCTCCTCGGGCATGCAGAGCTGCGGAGAGGAAGAAGGGGAGGAGGGGGCCGATGCCGTGCCCCTGCCCCCGCCCATGGCCATCCAGCAGCACAGCCTGCTCCAGCCGGACTCGCAGGACGACAAGGTAGGGGCCCAGGCCACCCGCATTATGGGGGCGCCCTCAGCAGCTGCCAAGCTCCAGCCTCATTGCAGGAGATAGGTGACTCCCGGCCATCCAAGGGCGCCTGGGAAACATTTACTGTCCCGACGGGTCCCTGAGAGCAGCCACAGGCGCCCCGAGCTGTCTGCGCGCCCACCTCCTTGTCCAGCATTAGGCGGCCTGTTCTCTCTGTTAGGTGCTTTTGCACAGGGTGTTCAGATGAGATCGTTGCTGTCCAGTTCCTCTTCCCAGCATGCCACAAATCAGGAGGATCACACTGGAGTGTGGGGACAGGTGTCCAAGTTCAGAGCCACGAAACTCCTCCTTGGAGACGTGCGGAGGCGCCAAGCCAAGTCCACCGGTTTTTGTGTTTTTTGAGTTCTTAGGTAATCGAGAATTATTTTATATACCCCAATTGTAGATCCCAAAATATCAAACAGGAAACCTGATGGCTGGCTTACACATCCTCTCGCATCCTGGCCCACTGTGCTCCTCCAAATTGTCAGGTGCTGAAAACCGTGCTATGAAGCCATCACTGGTGTGTGGTTGTTTTTTTGCAATAGCTAAGTTTTAGGAATAAAACATACCAGTTTTCCCCATTCTTCCCTTTTTTCCTCCCCCGACTCCCTCCTCAGCGCTATCACAATCACTTGCTGACGGGGGGAGGGGGCAGCCAGGGCCAGTGATGAACTGACTCCCTCCTCAGCGCTATCACAATCACTTGCTGAATCGCCTGTTTTCTGACGGGGGGAGGGGGCAGCCAGGGCCAGTGATGAACCGCTGCCCAGCCAGGTCGCACAGGAATCTTGGCCTGAGGCAGACGTTTCTCCAGCCCCTTCTCTGCAGAACTGACCTCCTCCTTCTCCCCTCCTGGCAGTCAGCGCACAGTCAGGGAGCTGCGGGTCTTGGCTGGAGGATGTAGCTTGGGTTTGAGTCTGGAGTTTGGGGTGACTGAGGTGCACACCCTACACTGTCACGGGTGGGAGGGAGCAGAGATGAAAGAGGACCTCACCCCTCTGCACAGAGCGGACTCATCAGGAAATGGGGTGCGTCATTTCTCTAACAATCCCTACGTTGTTTCGTAGTATTCTAAGCTGTACCGTTCTTAAAAGCAGAAAACTGAAATGTCTTAAATCTGCATGGTCAGCCAAAAGGGAGGTGCTAGGCCTGGTTATTTACCAAGTAAGAATATTTCTTCTCCACTTAAACAGTGGATTGCATGATATTCTTCTGTTTGCTAAATGGTTTATTGGTTATTGCGTTACCTCATTGGGTATTATTATCAACAGCAGTTCTTTGTTTACAAAAGTCTATAGTGATGTTCCCAGAGAGTATATTTCTTGTGACTAATATTTTGTTTTGTTCTGTTTTCTCTTTTTGTAAACTTTCACGGCAGCATTATGTTGATTTGTGTTCTGTGTCTGTTTTGGCTCAGTTTCCTTACCTCTCCATTTGAATTGTTTCCCTTGTTTTCTTCACCTCATATTCCAGATTTCATTAGACCAAGCCAACATTTGTTTTGCAAAGTGCATACCTGAATCCACACATGTAGAAGCCTCGTTGTGAATGTATAGATCCGTACTGTCTGCTGTGAGAAGTGCATCGCTAGGACAGCTAGCTGTGTGTCGCATGCATCTCCGCTGCCCTTACTATGAAGCGAGGCTCATATTACGCCCCTCTTCTAGTTTCCAATCGATGAACAGCGCAAGTAATCCGCAAACACACGGTGTTTGCTAATTACTGAACTTGAACGCAGTAGCCCTTCCCCCAAATTCCTTAAGTGTCACCCCTGTGCACCCTGACTCTCGCCGTACACGGCGCCTGATAGCTTGTGAGGCCACAGATCTTCTGTACTCTGCACTAATGATTGGGGAAGTGGATGGCACAGGAAATGGTGAGCTCGTCCCCCTCCTCCCTGTCTGCTCAGCGTGCCCTGGTTCCTTTTCCTCCTCGTTTCTTTCTTTTAAACCCATAGGCATTTTTAGTATCTTGTTTTGTTTCCTGATTATTTAAGGATTCACTCATTAGACCGTAAGCCTTTCATTCTTCCATTGATCAGAGTCTGTATTTTTTTCTCCTTCGCCAATAGCCCAGCCAGCAGTTGCAAAAGTTACAGTTAGGATTCTCCCGTGCCCAGGCACCTCTCTGAAAAGCATTATGATGTTACATGACTGCGGATTGAAAACAGACACTGTCTGCTTTCCACATGTATCCCAGACAGGTTTTATTTAATACTCTATGTCAGAATATTGTAAATTTAGAGGGATGACTTTAAATAAATGCAAACAAAGACAAACTTGTGGTCTTTTTGTCTGGAATTACTTTTAAGAAGAGCTTGAGCTTGCAGGAGGATTTCCTGTCTGTCCAGTGACTAACATAAGGCATTCCCCTCCCCCCTTTCTTTTTCTTAACTTCTTCCATAGGCCTCTTCTCGGTTGTTAGTCCGCCCCACCAGCTCCGAAACGCCGAGTGCAGCCGAGCTTGTCAGTGCAATTGAGGAACTCGTGAAAAGCAAGATGGTAAGGCTTTCCGAGGAAGAGGTGCGGAAGCTCTGCGTGCCGCTGCAGTGCATGGGCCTTGTCCGTGTGCTGCTCTTGTGCCCTTGTCGTGAGGGCTGCAGAATGTGTCTGTGACGTCTTGCACAGTGGGCGTTCCCAAGGCCACCCTCACTTCTACCAGCTGCAAGAGTCAGGTCCCCAAGACCATCCTCGGGTTCAGTAGTTCACTGGAAGGGCTCACAGAACTTAGAACAGCCACCATTGCAGAGCCTTACTGTGAACAGACACAGATTAAAACCAGCAGGGTAGAGATGCAGTGGGCTTCGAAGTCAGGCAGAAAGTTAGGAAGTTAGACAGGGAAGGCTGCTAGGAGTTGGCAGATAACTCAAGAAAGAACTGGACGCCACTGATCAAGAATTACGGATCGTGTCCGTAGGAACCAAGTTAAACCTCGGCCTGGCTGTCTCTTTGAGAGACAGCTGATGAATGGTGCCAACAAAGGATGCTTACATTGTAGTCAGTGAGTTTCAAGCATCCTTAAACAGTTTAAAAACAGCTTTTCATACACATCAGTTATATGACCGTGAAAATCATCCTTGTCTGTGAATTTAAATAGTTTCCCCAAGAAATGCTATAAGGCAACACTGTCAACCTGCCAGTCAGTAGTCTGCACGTATTTACATTGCGTTCCACTTCAAGTGGGCTGAGGTTCGCTGTGATTCACTTAGGTGACCGCTAAGTGGAGAGGGGTTCTATGGCTGTCTCTTTCCCCTCTTACTGGTTTATTCCTCCTTTGCAGCTTTACCCCCTCACGTCTCTTCTGAAGTTAACAGGCATAAAGTTGTTGGCATTGCGGGAAGGGCGTAGGTTTGGGGGTCGGGTAGATGTGGGTTGAAACTCTCCTACTTACTGTCTCTCAGCTGTGAGCTGGGACCGTGAATGCAGTGCGGTTTGTTAAGCTCCTAGCAAGCGTTCGTCGTGTGGACATTCACTGATGCCTCTCTTTCCCAGTGGGAAAACCACACTTATTCTTTTGCTGACGGACTCACCCCTTCTCCATCCTCCAGGGAACATGATCTAGATTCTGCCTTTTTTCCTGGTCCAAGAAAAACATAACTACATTGATTTCCTGTCACTGATCCTTCCATGACGAACAGGAACTATTTTGTGGGTAAAAACCCTAGTGACTCTTTTTAATATTCTTCACCCTATCCTGGCCCCTGGGACTCTGAGTTGCTCCTGCCCATCCCACCACGTGCATCATGTTCATTTCCGTGTGGATGATGATCTCTTAGGCTCAGGCACCTTCACGATAGGATTTGAACCCTGAATGGTTTATGCATCAGAAGCGAGGTATTCATGGATTGGACTGGGGAGAAGGTGCTCGAAGTATTATATGCTTGAAGTATATATGCAGAAGTATTCAAGGAACAACCTTCTGACCCGAAAACCTGAGCGTTCTACCTGAAAAGTCAGAACCACCAGAAAACTTCCTGGGTTTGCTCCTCTCTCCTGTCTCCACATTCCTGAGAGATTGTGTATCTTCTGTGTATCTTCCCTGAGCGTCAGCAATGCGGCAGCAGCAACGGACAGCTATAGTGGCTGCTGGGATTTGACTTTGGGGCTTTCTTCCGTTCGTTGTTCTAAATATAAAGTGAGATACAAGAAAGAATGGGAATTAATGAAGTAAACATCTAACTCAAGATAGTAGAAGAACAAAAAAATAAACCAAAGCAGAAGGAATGAGTTCATAGAGATAAAAACAGAAGTTATTGAGCTGGAAAAGAGAAAAATAGTAGAATATATAAAACCAAAAATATGTTCTTTCAAAAAATATAGATATCAGGTGACCTGAAAAAAAAAAGAAATCACAAATTCACAAAATAAGACATTATAGGGGAGCAGCAAACAAAATTGAACAGTCATAACATTACTTTGTTCAGCTCTTTAAAAGTACGTTTGAAAACCTGGATGACATCGGCAGCTTTTAAGATATAATTTACCAAAACCAACCTCAGAAGAGAGAATCGCCACAAGACCTTTCTTCGTCCAAGAAAGAAAGCTGACAAGAACCTACCCGCCACAACACCGCCAAGCGCAGAGGACCCTCAAGTAATTCATCCGAATTTGCCATCCGGGTCCAAGGCAGCTGTGGCTGTGGCAGCCTCCCCCTCGCACGCTGCTTGTGGAAGAGGCAATGGGCGGCGTTGAGGGAGTGGACGGCATAAATGTGATGAGAACACGCAGCCCTGACTGCACCCTGTCAGTGTGTGCACCCAGGTCTCTCTGGATGCCCCCCCACATCTGGACCAGCCATGTCTCAGTCCAGACAGCCTTTCCAGCCGCTACAGAAACTGCCTCGCGGACATCACTGAAGTCCAGGACTTCACCTCACTCGCTCCTGGGCGAGGGCACCTCGGGCATTTCTCCCTTCCTTTTTTTTCTCACCATTCAAGTGGACAGAGTTAATTCCGAGCTTCAGCTGCTGGGAGACTGGAGAGGAGGCAGAGCAGAGCTTCCTCCCCTCATTCTTCAGACTCGCCTCCTGCCAGGACCTCCAGAACCAGCGGGCGGCCAGCCTCCGCTCTCGCTGCCAGTTAAGGTCAATAGCTATTTATTTGAAACTCAGAGTGCTCTTCTCTCATTAAACCCTGTTCCCCAACTGCGTTTCGCAAGTCAGAGCAGCAGTTGGTGTGTTTCCACAGCTCCGTGGGTGTGATGAGCAAGATTGCATGCACAGACTTTGTGTCCTCCAAACTGTGCTTCGTGATGGAGTCAGCATTGTTCTCTGAAGGGGAGAAAACAGGACACGTATTGAGGTTTTAATTTGGTAGGAAATACTGTGTTCTTGCAGTTTGTGTTGGGCTTTTTGTTTGAAGATAAGTCAAGCACATTTTCCCGGTTCAATCGCTAAATACTTCTCAGTCATCTCTGAATGTCCAGCGGGGCTGCTTCGGAAACTTTCAAACTATAACCTATGCTTTGTGAATTCAGGCTAAGAAAGAAAAGTAATATGTACCAATTAGAAAGTAATCAGCTGCAAATCATTGTCACGTTAATTCAGAGAGACAAGTCACCAATATTTAACTCCCAGATTTAATCACCTGCAAAGCTTTGCTTGAGATTCTGCAGTAGATACAACAAAAACCATCACCTGCAGAAACTAACATCCGAGGGGTCGGGGTGGGGGGCAGGTTGGATCAGTAATTGAGGCCAGCATGCCTGCTTCCTCCAGAAGAGACAGACAGGAAGTGCAAGTGCCCCTAAGAGAGGCATCATGGTTAGCTGAGTGATCTGTGTACACCAGAGTATGAATCAAGGCTTCATAGATCATCGAGAAAAAAACAAGTTTGTTTAAAATACAGATGGCGGATGCTGCCACGTAGCCCACGGTAAGGCACAGGGGTGGACGTATGGCGTAAACGGGGCAGTGGAGGCAATGGCACACATTTCTGAACCGATCACGCTTTCAAAAGGCAGGACTATAACTGAAAAGACAATTTCTGGATTTGAACTGGGTGCAGTGCTCTAGTGTAAACATGTATATTTTTCTAATTATTTGTAATAAGGAATAGACTATATCAATAGCTATAAATTTACTTTTTTTTCATTCTAATGTTCCTCTTTTATCCAGCTCCTCTTATTCAGTTTTTTTTTTAAATAAAGTTGGGAGGATTGTTATTAAGTACTGTATAATTTCACAAAAATAGATTTTCTAATTTTGCGATCAGCTCTACTGTATCTCCTGAGTGTGAGATTTTCTTACCCAGATTTCAGCCCCAATGACTCTGGGCAGAATCGTGATTGGGGATGTCATTTCTTTCAGGCGCTGGAGGATCGTCCCAGCTCCCTCCTCGTTGACCAGGGAGACAGCAGCAGCCCCTCCTTCAACCCTTCAGACAACTCGCTTCTCTCCTCCTCCTCGCCGATCGACGAGATGGAAGAAAGGAAGTCCAGCTCCCTAAAGAGGCGGCAGTAAGACACACATGTTTGCACTATCATTGTTTGGGTGGCTTTCCTCCCGTCGCTGTCACCTTCAGAACTGGGGCCGGGTCTCATGTCTGACTGAGCGCAATGAGGAGACCCAGGGTCTCTGAGTAGCTGCACGTATGCTTGAAAAGCCCTCAGGCCCCCGAAGGGCTCAGTCAGCCATCGCTGCAGTTTTTATTGTTTCATTTGTGTATTATACAACTTAATTTTTAATATGTTTTTATTGATTTTCAGAGAGAGGCAGGAGAGAGAGAGAAAGAAACATCAAAGATAAGAAAGAAACATTGATTGGCTGCCTCCTGCATACCCCCTACTGGGGATCCAGCTGCAACCCCAGGCATGTGCCTTGATCATGACCTTTTGGTGCGTGGGACAACACTCAGCCACTGACCCACACCGGCCAGGCCACAAATCATTCTTATTTGTTCATAAATTCTAGACAAGAATATCCCCTCAAATTTGTGGTGAGAAGCTCCTATACTTCCTATTGTATGCACAGTTGTGAAGGAAAAAGAAGGGAACATAAAATTATATTCAGTCCCCAAAACCGTAATATTTTCTGAATATATATTAGTGGTAGGTTTCTCTGTTCCAGTAAAGTGTCTTATAGTGAAAGAAGAAGAAAGAGCCCTGATAAATATTAGGTTAAACTTGCCTTTGAGGGAAAGAACACTGGTAAGCTGCATGGGGGCTGTGCCCGGGCACCTAGATGATGGTGCGCACATGGGAGGTGCTTAGTCGGCGTGGGCTGGTTGAATGAATGAATGAATGAATGAACGAACGAACAAAGGTATGACTTCAGGCTAACTGGGTAAGGATGTGCTCTGCTGATAAGTAATTATCTTCTATTATCTGAGTAGCCTTATGCAGTTACTGAACCTTACAAAGAGAAACACTTCTGTGTTAAGTTTTTTTCCTGTATGTTCAGAGTTTACAATGACTTAATCATTAAAAAACAAAAGCCTGCTTCCTGCAATGTCATGCGTTATAACAAAGTTATGTCTGTGCTTCTCTTGGTTGTTCCTTTACGTGATCGGGTCTGGTGGTGGGAGTTCGCCCTGAGTGGGAAGTGTCTTGTGACCTCCACAGCCCTCAGGGGTCACCAGGTGCACCTCCCTGGATTTGGGACACTCAGGATTGGAGACTCTGTGGTGCAAGTCTGACATGTTTCTTCGCATTCCTGGGGGAGTCTGCCCCGACAAAAGCAAACGTGCGGAAGAATTCCTTTAGAAAATGAAGAGTCAAGATTATAAACACTTTTTCTCTCTCTTTCTAGCTACGTTTTGCAAGAATTAGTGGAGACAGAGCGTGACTACGTGCGGGACCTCGGCTATGTGGTAGAGGTATGTTTTCAGAGATTTAATAACCTGTATCGGTCCCCAAAGTCCACAAAGAGGTATCGTGTTACATTTTAACACTGAGACTTTCTCCAAAGCTTTAAAGACGTTTTTGACAAAAAAAAAAAAAAAAAAAAGCATTACTCAAAAATAAAGCTGAGCCAATTATCTTAACAATCAATATTGACTTTTAAAGGCCTCTTTCTGCCTAATGTACCTGACTTGCTCATTTTTTAATAATTAAGTTTTAAAATTATGATATCTAACCATTGTAGCTATTATATGGGAGTCTTGCCTTTAATTATTGTACATGAGTAGGCATCACCACAGAAATGCAAACATCACTGGTTAACAGAGTCTGTGCCCAGCTGTGGATTCAGTTCCATCCTGAATCTGCCTGGCTTCAGAGAATGGTCAGTGGATGCACCAGACCATTTGCTTATCGTTTTCCCAGACGCATGTCTCACCATTTTCATTGCCTGGAGGTTGCTATGCCCTGCGTAGCCATCGGAAACCACTGCTGGGGTCAAAGGCTTTCCCCTGCCTTTCAGCTCAGAGCATGATCATCTCCATAAACTCAACTCATAGAGCTATTTTTATAGCGTAAAACCTTATCACCTATCCTTTAACTTTGCAAATATGTGTGGGACAATGCTTTGGGGGTCTATATTCTATTAAAAGTAATGGCTAGTAAGTTAAATGTGTAACAAAAAGAGTTACCATACTTGCTTTGTCTACAGTCATCATTAACAGCAAAAGAAGTCACTTGAATACTTAAGAGGTTCTGGTACAGGCTGAATTCCATGTGCGTTAAATAGAAGTTTTAACCACATTTTAGCAACATATTTAATCAGCCATTGTTAAAAAAAAAATCAATCTATGAAAAGAGTATAGTTAAATACTGCTTTAACAAATTATGGAAATAATCCAAAAAGAAAAGAAAATCTGTTTATATGAGAAATGCTGAGAACAGAGGAAACTTCTGGGCAAATAGTTAATATTTATAAGATGATTTGTTTTATGGAACCATCTACATTTATATAAGCTTCTTCAGTTCCTTAGAAGGACTGTGATGACGCATGGAGAGACAACCATGGGAATGAATGTAACAGTGCCCGTTCTACTTACATGTACACACTGGCCCTTGAACATCAGGGGTTTGAACTGCATAGTCCACTTACATGTGGATTTTTTTTTTCATTAAATACTGTAAATGTATTTTCTCTCTCTTACGATTTTCTTAATAACATTTTCTTTTCTCTAGCTTACTTTATTGTAAGAATACAGTATGTAATACACACAACATAGAAAAGATGTATTAATTGACTTTGTAACCGGTAGGCTCTGGTCAACAGTAGGCTATTAGTTGGAAGTTAAGTTTTTGAGGAGTCCAGTTATATGTGTATTTTTGAGGGCACTGGGGTTGGCACCCCTAAACCCCTGTGTTGTTCACGTGCCAGTTAAGGACCCTTTCCATATAGGATTTGTATTTGTTTTTAAATAAAGAATTGGTTACAAGACATGGTATATGTCTGTTTTGTCCCTTATTACTAAACCATCACTTGGTACAAACATGTTCAATGTAATAAACATGTTTTTTAATATTTCATTATAGGGCTACATGGCACTTATGAAAGAAGATGGTGTTCCTGATGACATGAAAGGAAAAGACAAGATTGTATTTGGCAACATCCATCAGATTTATGACTGGCACAGAGAGTACGTAAAGTCCACATCACGCTTGGTGGTGTGCACACCGCGTCCCGGTCAGACCCCCTCATGTCAGCGAATGGGAACGGATAGGCATTGGGTCATTGCATTTCCTTGCCTGTGCAGCTGGGGGAGGCAGCTGGTGCACAGAAAGTATTGATGGGCCGAGAAGTTTTGTGGTAGCTTTTCATGGCCCGCGCAAGAGTCTTATCTCCTTCGTGCTAGTCCATCCAGGGGCCCCACCTCAGGGCCTCACCACCTGGTTCATAGCCTAGGCCTGACCTTGAGTCCTTGACATCCCCCCTCTGTGCCACCGTCTTCAGCTGCACACCTGGGTCATAGTGTGACCCCCCTCATGGGATTTCTGTGAACGGGAACCGAGTTAATACACATGAAGCACTTAGAACATCATCTGCATAGAGTAAGCCTCGATACATATTTCTAAAGAATTGCAGCCACCTCCTGAATAAATACCGATTACACTCAGAGGGTCTTGAAGATGCTCATCTTCCAACTCAGTTTTAATGGAAAGCGTGAGCATGATTGCTCATGGAAGTCAGATTTGGTCGCGGTACATTGCCACGCCTGCCCTAATGAAATCCGGGTCAGGGCTGACGCTACAGCAGCCGCCTGGCCTGCAGAGCTGGTCACTGCACGTCCACCCCTCAGGTCACCTTGCTGCTGACTTTAAAAATCCTTCATCCAGGGATTGCTCTATGTCAGCTGCCGGTGCTGTTGTGGGCAGTTCAGCTGCACTGTCCGTTCCCCGTCGTGTGGGCAGCTCCTGCCTTCCTGTCTGTGTGTGTGTCGCGTCCCGAGCCTACAGCACCATCATCACTTCTAAACCCAGTCAAGTGCTCGCTTCCCCGTGAGCCCCGACCACTCTAGGCAGGAGTGCTCCCTCCAGGCAGATGACACATGCAAGGGAGCTTTTGAAACTGGACACACCCTACAGATACAAGGAGGATTGCCATGGTGTGTCCCAAGTGGGGTTGTATTATTTCAGTATCTCTCTCCCCTAAGGGAATGTAGGACTCTTGAGCCCAGGTCTTAGTTGTTATATCTCCTATAATATTTAATCCAGTCGGACTCAGATGAATGCCAGGTCAGTTTTAGGAGCAGCTCTAACTTACGGCTCTATAGCCTATAGACTTTATAAAGGGATATTTGGTACTATTACCCAGACTTCTTTGCCCAGCGCTGGTTTTTCAGCTGTGACAGGGAAGGGGAAAATAACTGGTCCTGCTGACGAGACAGAGATATTGGCACCCGAGGTTGTGTCTCCCACAACAGCTGCAGACCTGGGGGATATTTTAACCCAAAGGCTGCACACGTTCAATACAGACTGATTGGCTTTCAGGTTAATAAAATAACAAGCAGCCCTAACCGGTTTGGCTCAGTGGATAGAGCGTCGGCCTGCGGACTGAAGGGTCCCAGGTTCGATTCCGGTCAAGGGCATGTACCTTGGTTGCGGGCACATCCCCAGTGGAGGGTGTGCAGGAGGCAGCTGATCGATGTTTCTCTCTCATCGATGTTTCTAACTCTCTATCCCTCTCCCTTCCTCTCTGTAAAAAAATCAATAAAATATATTTTAAAAAACTTAAAAACACAAAGATTGGACACATGAAAGGGATGATAACTTGGACATAGGCCACACACAGCTGCCGTCCCAACAAGGAATGTCCACAGCCATTTCGTTTCTGTGGTTGTCATATTCCTCTCGTCTCAGCTTTTTTTTAGGGGAGCTGGAGAAGTGCCTTGAAGACCCAGAAAAGCTCGGATCCCTCTTTGTGAAACATGTGAGTGTGATACTGTTGCTTATGTGCCGTTCTGATACTGTCCTGTTTAGTGATTGGTTTGTCAGACTGAAGGCGAGCTCGCAGTTTACACACGTGTTTGTGTGAAGAATAAGCCAAACGGCTCAGTGCCAGAGCGTCAGGTCAAAGCTCCCACACGAGGGCGCCCCGAGGCAGCCAGGGCAGCGTGCAGGAGGGCCTCCCTGTGTCAGAGTGTTAAAGGGCCGCCTGTCCGTGGCTGAGTCCAACACAACGTGTTTTTATTACTTCGTAAGGACATTCTGGGGTGAAGCTGGCATCTTCTACTGCGAATGTGCTGGTGACGGACATTTGCTGAGATGCCGGCAGTTTCCCACCGTTGGCTCTGCGCCTCGGTGCACCTGGTAGCACCGAGCAGAGGGCTGGTGACACTTAGCATTTGGGAAATAGTTTTGAGGGACCGCAGGGGTGCACACCACACCTGGAGCTTCGCCAGGCAAAGGATGGCTCGCAGTCCGCTTGCCCTGCCTTCATATTTGAGACGAAAGAACTGTTTCTTCCCAATAAAAACAGCCAGGCTTCCTAGGGCCACTGGAGGTTTGAAGGGTGGGAGTGTTTCTTCCTTTAATGAGAACTGTGTTCCTTTGCTGTCTCATCTTTGCCAGGTAGAGTGTGTGAGTGTGTGTGTGTGTGTGTGTGTGTGTGTTGTGGGGGGCGGGGGGGGTGCGGCAGGGGTTTGACATATCCGAGGGAGTGATAAAGGAGGTCTGTTTCTGGAGCCACAAAGGAGTGGGCTGGTCTATGTCAGGAATCTGGAATGTGCTCCCAAGTCTAAACCATGCAGTTTTGTTTTAGGAAATTTCCTTTCTGAAGGTACTGAAATGTGCATGTGCTCTTATATTCTAATGAGCTTCCTGTTGTTATAACCTGTCTGTCTGCCTTTGTCATCCCCAGGAGAGAAGGTTGCACATGTACATAGTTTACTGTCAGAATAAACCGAAGTCTGAGCACATTGTCTCAGAATACATTGACACCTTTTTTGAGGTAAGATCTAAGATAGAAACAAAGTTTTTCTGAATCTTTTGTGATAATTTAAGCTTCTCAAAACTTTAAGTATTAATGGTCACCCAGGAAACTAGCCTCAATTCTAAGAGTTCTGGACCTGTGTTTGGTTCTTGGGATTCAGTCTGCGGTCGCATCCCTTAGCATTCAGAAGACTGGGTCATTGTGAAAATAGGGGTTTTGTTTCATTTTAAATCTGTTTTCAACTTAAGGCTCATTACACATTCAGAATAATTCATGATCTAAATTTTTAGCCTAAAACTAAAATATGTGTGTGAATAAAAAGGCAATTGAAAGAAAGTCTTTAAACAAGCATCAAAGCAAAGACTTTTGAAAAACAGCTCAAGAAGGTTAAAGTATAAACTTTGGACATTCTGAGAAATAGTATACACTAGTTGGTTTTTGTGCAGCGTGGCCTCTTTTCTCAGTACTTTTATTCTGGTGTAGTGAGCATTTCTGACAAGTGTGCAAGGACTAAAAAATGCCCTTTAAAAATAAAAAGACAATACTTTTTTTCCCCCCTCCTTTAAAACCACAGGACTTAAAGCAGCGCCTTGGCCATAGGTTGCAACTCACAGATTTATTAATCAAACCGGTGCAGAGAATTATGAAATACCAGCTGTTACTAAAGGTAAGGACTCACCAGGTGCTCGTTCTGGTGTCGGGAGTTTGGTGAAGCCAGATGCAGTGAGGGGAGAAGGAGGGTCCGGGAGGTGAGGGAGAAGGAGGGTCCGGCAGGTGAGGGAGTTCTTTTCTGTAAACAAAACATGAAGCAGTCTTGTTATTTCTGATTTTAAATATTTCAGAATAGGCTTTTTAAAATGGAATAAGACACCTTACACTGTTTTCTCAATTTTTCGTTTATATCAAATTCTGAATAAAAATGTCGATTGAAGTAAACTTTTTTCCCCACCACAGACCTTTGAATACTAATGATTTTTCTTCCGCTCTGTTGACCTTACATATTTTCTCATCTTCTCTGAGCCTTGGATAAAATTAAATGCTTAATCCCTGCCTGTTCCTCTCTGTTGGCTTAGCAACAACCCTTGATGGATTTAAATTCCTCAGCATTTCCATGATACATGTGACAGTTCAATGTGCTGAGATTTCTTTCTTCTGTAAAAGTTAGAAACAGGGCCGGGACCGGTTTGGCTCAGTGGATAGAGCGTCGGCCTGCGGACTGAAAGGTCCCAGGTTCGATTCCGGTCAAGGGCATGTACCTTGGTTGCGGGCACATCCCCAGTGGGAGATGTGCAGGAGGCAGCTGATCGATGTTTCTCTCTCATCGATGTTTCTAACTCTATCTCTCTCCCTTCCTCTCTGTAAAGAATCAATAAAATATATTTTTTTAAAAAAAGTTAGAAACAGGGTATAAAGAGGCCAGAGCTGGGCTTGCACTGAAGCAGGAGCCCTTACCTGCTCGGACAGGGTTGGTCTGGCTTGGCTTGGCTGCAGCTTGAAGTCCACGTAAGGGGAACTTTTCCTGGTGTCACTGGGAGGGAAACACCAGGAACAGAACTGAAGCGCTTACGCCAGAGCCGGGCATGTCAGAACGATCCAAAGGCTAGCTGCCACCGCCACAGCACCTGCTCAGCCCTCTCCACTCCCCTTGCAGGACTTCCTCAAGTACTCCAAGAAAGCCAGCCTGGACACGTCTGAACTAGAGGTACTTACCCCCGGGCTGTCCCCACGTGCCTCCCAAGCAGCCTGTCCCTGGCGGGGTGGGTCTCGCCACCACCTGGGCCCCCTGCCCACCCACCCGA